AAATTGGGGGCACCGCTTTTTGGCGCCCCCAAATCTTGGCGCCCTAGGCAACCGCCTAGTTCGCCTTAATGGTAGCACTGGCCCTGCCTGCAGCACAGCACCCCCTACCGAGCCCCCCTCCCCACTCCCTTCAGCACAGCACCCCCTGCTGAGCCCCCTGCCCTGCTCTCTGTAGCACGGCAGCCATCCAGGACCCACTCCCCTTTAGCAGACCCCACTCTCCCACCTTCATCCTGGCAGCCAGCTGAGCCCCCGTCAGCACCTGCCCAGCTCGGTCCGTCCGGACGTGTGTCCCTGCTGAGCGCACCACGGTGCTGACGTAGTCACACAGGTACTGCCGGAAATCCTCGTCCATGTCTGCAGGGGGGAAAGGACCCAGGCATCCGGGAGGGACCCAGGTGTCCGGGATAGGACACAAGTTAAATGGGGGATGTGGGAGCTGGTTTGTGAAACAGGAAATGTGATTCCATCTCTGGGTAACAGTTGCTTAGGACTCCTCCCCCACACTGCCTGGGGGAAAATGGGGGAGCAGTCGGAGGGGGGGAGGCTGGAGAAGCTGCAGTGGGGGGGGGGGAGTCAGCAGTCTCCACTGGGTGATGCAGGGGGAGCCTTGAAGGCCTCAAAGGGGGGAACGAGCAGCATCCCTCCAGGAGCCCAGGGCAAAGCAGTGTCCCCTCAGGTCCCCCTCCCCTCCGGCACTGATACCGTGACCCAGTGAGCACCTCTGTGCAATGGGCATGCAGTCAATTCTAAGGGAAGGGGGTGAGCCGGGCACTGGGATTTTGGGGTGGGGGCAGTGCAGGAGGGGGTGGGGGCTGGGGGAGCAGTGCAGGGGTGAGAGGGGAGAAGACGGGGTTCTCTTACCGCCTGGCGTTCCTGAACTGCTCTTGGTGAACCGAGTGCCAGGGTGGGGCAGTAGGTAGCACCGGGTGCCGCTCGCCCTCAGGGCTCCCAATGCCAGGGGCCTCCCAGCAGTGACCTCCAGTTCCTGTTGGAGTCAAAGTGACATTTGCTGCCATCAGTGAGAAATCTGACCTGCCATGGAAACATTCAGCTCTGCCCCAAAGCTGGAGTTTGCTGTTTCCATGAACACACGTGGTGCCTGGCGCTGATCATTACCCGTGTGATGTCTCTGAGATGCTCCTGCCCCTCGTCTGTGCCGTAGGATCCAGAGAGGCTCCAATCTCGCACCAACAGGTCCAGGCGCTGCAACAGAGAGTGCAGGAGAAGGGTCACACTGGGGCTGGGGGCACAGAGAGGAGACCAGAGACTGGAGGCTGCCATCGAACCCAGCCACCGACACCGAGACTCTGGGCATGGCATGGGCATGGAGGGAGAACAATGGGGGCAGGGACTGGCTGTTTGCTCTGGGTTTGTCCAGTGCCTGGCATAACAGGGTCTGGGTCTAGGACGGGGCTTCTGAGGTGCTCTGGCAATAGAGAACAGTGACTACTTAGAATGAGACTGGGTGATGGGAGGGGAACCAGCATTGTACCGCTACGCCTGGGAGAGGGGAGGAATGAGGACTCACCTGAATTTGGGGGAGATTGCAGGTCTCGCCAACCTCCTTCGCAACCTGAATGAACATCTGAGATGCAGAGAGAGAGAGACAAAGGAAACGTTTTCCATTTTCAGCAAAACATCCCCCCACAGGTGACTAAAGGTGACCAACCTAGATTGGTGGCTCAAAATAAACGAGTGAAAATAACGCCACTGAAACTAGCCAAAACCTGAAGAACATTAAGTGAAAACTGATCATTGAAGAGAGAAAACAGATAAAATGAGGAGAGAAACCTAGTTTCAAACACAATAACTCAACACCAGTAATCACAGATATAAAAGCAATAATTGAACTCAGAAAAACCAATAGGTGGTTCTAGAAAAGCAGCCATCGAAGACACAGCAAGCCAATAATCAAAGTAAAAAAAGAAATAATCAAAAGTAGAAAATTAGTCATTGAAATTAGAAAACCAGTTACTGAAACCAGAAAAGCAGTGAAAGAAATCAATCACTTAGCAAAATTAGCAAACTAATAATTAATGTCAGAAAACCAGCAATTATAATAAGATCTGAAATCAACGTCTGAAAACCATTAAAAAAAAAGTATTTGGAGCCAAGATCACCAATCGTCAAAGAGTGAAAGCCAGGAACGGATGTCAGAAAACCAGATATCAAAGTCAAAAAACCCAAAGTCAAAGACAGAAAACCAGTAATCAGTATCAGAAAACCAACAACTGAATGCAGACGTCCAGTAATCAGAGCCAGTAAAGTAGTAAATGAAGTCAACCAAGAGCCAAAACAGAAAACCAGTATTTGAAGTATGAAAACCAGTCATCAAGGTCACAAAACTAAGTCAAAGTTAGAAAATGAATCATCTAAGGCAGAAAACTAATGGCAAAAAGAAGCAATAAGTGAATAGCAGAATTGAAAAAAATGTTTAAATACCCCAAATTTTTGAAGAAAAATTATAAGCCAATAATCTGTACAGAGACACTAATAAGTGAAGCCTGGTAAACAAACACTGAAATTTTGTAATGAATAAACAAAAGCAGAAAACTGATAAGGAACATCCCCAAACCGATGAGATTAAAATCTGACAATCAAAGAACGAAACTCAATACATGAAATATGTAATGTGATAACTAAAATTATAACTAGATCCCTGGCATGTGGGGAGGAGGAATGGGGAACACAGAGGTTGGGCTGGGGGATGGGACATAGGGTCAGGGTTAGGCTTCAATTTAGTCATGGGTATTTTTAGTAAAAGTCACAGGCAATAAACAAAAATTCCCAACCCGTGACCTGTCCATGGACTTTACTATAAATACCTCTGACTAAATCTTAGCTGGGAGGGAGGGGGGCTTCAGGGGCACTGCTGCTATGCAGGGCCCGCGGGGCAGCCCCCATCGGCCACTGCTCAGGCCGTCAGCAGGGCCAGCCGCACCAGCTGCTTCTCGGGCAGTCCCCAGGGCCACCCACCAGCTGTTGCTCCAGCTGCCCCCAGGTTGCGGGGGTCAACTACACTGGCAGCTGCAGAAGTCATGGACGTCATGGAAGGTCACAGAATCTCTGACTTCTGCGACCTCCAAGACAGACACGCAGCCTTAGTAATAACCAACAACCAAGAGCTAACAGGGCAAATGAATAATAGCTGCCAGATAATGGTAATTGTGAATACAACATTCACTAATATTTTATTAATTACTGTTCCGTATTACTGTTCAGATTCACGGCACCCAAACCCCGGCCTAGCGGGAGATCCCTGGGACTTTCTAACTGTCAATAACAGCCCCAAAGCTTATAGACTGCCCCGCCCTCAATCATCACATCGCCAGGACTCCCAGGTCCTCCCCTGCGGGGACAGGGCTGAGAGGTCAGAGTTACAAGAGCCGTGTGTATCCCCTGCCCCACCCACCTCCAAATAATCTGCCTCCGTCCGGGTAAACGTGCTGGAAATGTTAAAAATCTAGAAACGTAATCAGGAGAAAAGGTGAGCTCCCCCTGCCGAGCCCCCCCAATACATGGAGCACAGTGTGCCCTCCTAAGCCCCCGCCAAGTCCCTGCTCTCCAGCTCCCCCCTGAGACCTCTGACCACGCCCTGCTCCCCAGCACGCCTTCCTGAGCCCCCACCCACTCCCTGCTCCCCCAGCACCCCCACCTGAGCCCCCTGCCCACTCCCTGCTCCCTAGGGTTACCATATTTCAGCAAGCAAAAAAGAGGACGGGAGGAGCCCCGCCCCCGTCCTGCCCTA